GTCTCCTCCACTTGCCTCCTCTCCTTATCTCCTCTCCTTGTCTCCTCTCCTTATCTCCTCTCCTTGTCTCCTCCACTTGTTTCATCTCCTTGCCTCCTCTCCTTGTCTCCTTCCCTTATCTCCTCTCCTTGACGCTCCCCTGAGGTCCTACCTTCTTGTTTTTATCGTCCACATGGTGTAGACGTCTTACATTTTGTCTCTGCAGCTCTTTCTACGAAGCTTTCCCTCCTGAACTTGGCTCTTTGTGTCTCTCCAGGTTGTTCGAGACCCTCCAGTCTCTCTTCTGGTCCATATTCGGGCTGCTCAACCTTTACGTCACCAACGTCAAGGCCCGACACGAGTTCACGGAGTTCGTCGGGGCGACCATGTTCGGGACATACAACGTCATCTCGCTGGTGGTTCTGCTCAACATGCTGATCGCCATGATGAACAACTCCTACCAGCTCATCGCCGTGAGTCACTGCAGGGAGCCGCGCAAAGATTAGTCTGACCGATAGCTGCAGTTTATTCATGTGTTTGTGAATCACTGATTAAAATGACGTGGGCCGAGTAAAACTACCGTGAACATATTAAGCTGAGCGGGTCGCTCCATGAAATATCGACCAATTCTCCCCCCGACCGCCTCAGAACCAGCTGATCCTTCATCTACAGTAACGTATGAAGAAGACTTTTACCTTCATGCTGTCAATATTTTCGTTTAAATGTGTTCTCACCCTAGAATGTCGTCTTTATCTGCTGTTCTGATGCAGTTCTGACGCTCAGAAATGATGGAAAAGGTCCATTAAAAAGGGCCGAAAACTATTAGAAGTCTTTGTCGTGGTGACCCGTTGCTAGCTAAACCTCTACAGCGCTCTCTCAGAAAGTCTCTTTGGACTTTATGGGCCTGAAAATATTCAGAGTATGAAGGTAAAACTTTGCTTGATTGAATGAAGCTACTGTAGATACAGAACCAGCTGATCCTGAGCAGGTCTGGGGGATCTTCATCTGGAATAACCGAGTGGTTAAATGAGTGTCGATAACGGATTTAGCTGTTGCTGACGTAGTTGTCGATGCCTCGTTGTCTTCCTCAGATAATTAGCTTAAAGGTGCTAAAATCCTCTGGGTAAGATCGTTTCAAAGGTCTTAAGATGGAAACATATCGAGGTCTGGACATCGTGACAACAAACGTCATGCAGATTTCTGGTTTTCCCTCCAGGACCACGCCGACATCGAGTGGAAGTTCGCTCGCACCAAGCTGTGGATGAGTTACTTCGACGAGGGCGGCACGCTGCCTCCCCCGTTCAACATCATCCCCAGCCCCAAGTCCATCTGGTACCTGCTCATGTGGCTCCACAACAAGCTGTGCAGGAGAGGCCAGCCGCCCGGAGACGACACGCACAAATGTGAAAACCTGCGAGAGTTCACGGTGAGCCGAGACCCGTTTTCACCACGAGTTCGCCGGCAGACGCTCCCACAGCGTTGTTACCGCCGTACGGTCTTTAGTTACACGATCAGCGTCTTCAGATCAGATTCCACCACCGAGGAGCCACCAGCGCTAGATTTATATCAACTTTATAGACTTAAATAGTGCATCTTTGGCTTTTTATTTTCAGTTTTTCTGAGTTTAATCCATTTTTTATTTTGTGCTTGCAACAGCTTATGTTTAGATTGTGGACAAAACGAGACGTTTGAGGAAACACTGATTTAATTTTCTGTCAGTTTATCGACCAAACAGCTGATCGGTTAAGTGAGAAAGTGGTTGTTAGTTGCAGTCCTGCTTTCAACGGACAGAAACAGTGTGTTGTTATGGTGACAGCAGAGGCTCATGTTTCAATATGTAGAAATGAAAAGAGCAGGACTTTAAACTAACAACAACAATGTAAACCTTCATTTGAGTTTCCATAAAGTCAAAGATACCCACATGACCGTCAGTAAATGCTGACCTGTGGTGATGATTTGAACAGATGTGTTGCTGAAGACGAGGACGGGACAAACACGCAGAAGGTTTTTCTAGTTTAAAGAGTCTCCCATTCTCCGGTTTGACATTCGTGTTGAGTCAGTAGCTTTATTGTCTTTGTGCACTGACAGGAAGGAGTTTTATTATCTGTTTGTCTGGAAAAGCGAAGGTGAACTCGACTGATCAGGACACGACAAGCTGCAGCCGCCAGCATCAGAACCGTGAACGCTGCAGTCGCGGGACGCTGAGCGCCGCCGCCACCCTACTTCCAGCAACAAAACAGCAGCTGCAGACAAAAAAGCTCAAAGTTGACAAACTCAGGAACAAACTAAAGGCGTGATTTATTCATGCGTGAACCAACATGCCTTCGTGGCCATATGCCTGTCGCTGAACAGTCGTGCAAACGAGCTGCGCGGAGCCGGAGCCGGAGCCGGAGCCGGGCTCAGAGGCCATATGCCGGTGTTCATGCTGACAAGTCAGCAGAGGATTCACACGATTCACATGAAATCTGGTTTCTGTGGGCAGCTCTGGAGCACGAGTTCAACGGAAAAGGTTTTTATTTAGAGGAAAAGCTGCTTTTTTATCAGCCGAGATAATATATATATATAATATATATATATGTGGTCATAACTGAACACGAGAGACTAAAAACAAGCACAATGACACACAAAATGATCATTAAAAACATGCAGAATGACCACAAAGAAAGCAGAAAAAGATGCAAAATGACTGCGAAGCATCACAAAGCCACCAAAAAGACACAAAACAACAACAAAAAGATGCAAAACAATCACAAACAAATACAAAAACGTACAAAATTACCATAAAAATACACAAACTGACCACAAAGACACCACAAAAAGATGCAAATTGACTTCAGTGAGATATAAAACAACCACAAAGACATAAAAGACCACAGAAAGATGGAAATTGACCATAAAAAGATGCAAAATGATCACAAACAAACACAAAATGACCATAAAAAGAAGCAGAACGACAGCAAAGAGACACAAAGTCACCACAGTGACAGAAACAGATACACAGAACAACCACAACAAGACATAAAACGTCCACCAAGAGACCCAAAAACCAACCAGCAGTCTAGAAAGGACATAAAAAATCAATCGATCAGGTAATCAATGGACAGAAAATTCAGTTCCCAACATTGATGGCTGATTTGTGTCATAAAAATGCCCCAAACTGAATTCTAACCAGTTTCTCAGCTTCCTCTGACAGTAAATTTAATATCTGAGGCTGTTTTCTGACTCACCGAACACCCAGTTAACTATCAGAAAACAACAGTCGGACGTATTGATGATGAGAGTGATTAATTGGTGCTGCTGCTACTTTACGCCGTCCTGGCCGGGGTTTAGCGTTTGCTAATTACTCGACTCGCTTGAATTGAAGCAAACGTGCAGCATTTGGGGCCACAAAGCGGTGGAGCGAGGACTCGTTTAGTCGTCTAATCGGTCTTTTCTCGGCCCGGCAGCACTGAACCTGCTCACAGCCGCATTTAAAGAAACGCGGTGGCGCGGCACGTGGACGGACATCAGCTGTGTGTCTACGAGCACGGAAAGAACACGGGCAGATCAACACGTCCCGATAAGCACATTTAACAGCCCAGTCATCTGGAGCAGCCAGCGCTGGCTGATAAGGCTGCTTCGCATTCACACGGAGTGCAGCTGGCATGTTCACCTCAGCTGAAGAGTTACATAAGCCAGCCAGCCCACATAGGTTCACCGGGCCTCGCAGCGCCGCAGAGATCCGATCAGGGGAGGGAGCCGGCCGCTGTGTTTGTGCTGACAGAGCGAGCAGAAAGGCAGCGTTCGGTGTGGAAGCTCCGAGGACCGGGAGGGGGGATGGGTGCAGATTAGAACCACAAGCATCAGAGGAATTGTTCATGTTGACACACAAGCATTAAAACTGGCCCGTGTTTCCTCCACCGGACGAACTTTTCAACAAAACAACATTAGCTGCACAAATTTTCAACATGGCCGCCATGTCCAATCCAATCCATTTTCCTAACCTTATAGAGCCATTTGCCTGGTTTTGGTGTCAAAACATATAGCGTTTAGCATGTAGGATTAAATCTACATGCTCTAGCGTGATTACTTGCACCGTAACGGCGAGCTTTTGGCCATTCTGGTTTTGGTATCGTTTAGGTGTTCTGTCCGTTCTGATGTGGCCCCAACCTGTAACCCGATTAGAATAAAACTGAAAAACAAGCATGTCACAATGTCCTGGATTCCAGCTTTGATAAGTAGACATAGACACTAAATCGTGACAGCATCAATAAAATAACTCGTCATTAAAAACTAAATTAATCAATTAATTGGAAAACATTTCCTGTTCCAGTTTAACTTTAAGTCAGCAAACATTTACTGGTTTCTAAAAGTCTGTTGATGCCACAGTCTCATTCAAAAGTGTCAGAAATGTATGAGACAATTTTAATATCATAAAAAAATGGACTTTAAAGATATTTTTTTAAAAACGCTAACGTCCTCCATCTTAAAAAATGGCCATTTAAATTTCTTTCTTTTTTTGCATGTTGTAAAGAGTAAATACAAGAGTGTAAAAATGTTAAAAGTATTCAGAAATATTAATTCAAACTGCTCTGTTTTATGAGTGAAATCTAGCTACATTATGCTGTTGTTTCTGATGCCACAGTTCTTGAAAAAAATCATTAATTCTACTTTTTTAATGAACCTGGTGCTTTATTATTATTATTATTATTAATATTATTGAAGGGCCTTTACATTTATATTATATATTCTATTGTAAGTTGTTAACCCTATTTTTTAATTATTTAGCTAAATCTGTATTCTATGTGTTATTTTGGGGTTTTAATGTTAATATTTAAATGACACAAATACATAATAAATATCATGGTCCAGTCTAAAGCCTGAAGCTATACTATGTGGAATAGGTGACTTTTAGAATACTTGAGTTATGGTGAGGTGTTTAAATGTTCGACATTTTAAAGTTTAGAAAGATGTACAAAAAAGTTTGAGAGGCAGACGTCAGTCCGTGTTGAGTTCATTACTCAGCAGCTCTCCGGTCTGGAGGCTGTAAACGTAACCCTGCTGAACGTGACCCGGTTAGTTCTGTTGGAGAGAAACGTCAGGATCAGTCCATGAAAACTCTCCTCAGAATCAGCGGATTATTTGCTTCATGAAGCAAAGTTCTACCTTCATGCTGGGGATATTTTTAGAGGTCACATGACTTTGCACTGTGAGTTTGTCTCCCTGGCTCAGACAGAGGACCCAGTACAGAACCCTGTGGAACACCCCTTTTTTTTTTAATTTAAAAAAAAAAAGTATATTTGCAGGTTCATTCTGACAAAAGACTTTGGATTTATTTTTGTGTTCATACTGACCAGAGACTTCGGTCCCTGGTTGGTCGTCGTGCCTCCACGGTTCCCTCTTGGTACAGTAGACGTGTACAGCATGATGAAGGTGCATCAGACAGAGAGGTCTGCATATCCAGCCCACATGGAAATGAAATGGGAAACAGTGGAGCGGTAACAGGAAACACCGAAGATTGGTGGATGATGGATGAGCTTGTGACAAATCCGGAAATTAGCAAAACGGATCAGAACATGAAGAATTTGCAGGTTTTGCTCCACAGTGGTCTTCAGTGAGTCTCTCAGCTGTCAGATGTTTTAAAGGCACGCATTCATTTTCACATATTCCTATATTTTTAAAACTGAAAAAGCCGGCTTTGCCTCACTCTGATTGCGTAACGTCTTTCAGCCAAAAAGTGTTGCGTCTTGTTGCGCATGTAAAATTACAGTAAACAAAATCCTCCCGTGAAAAGATGTTGTGAGAAAAGTGGCTGGAGATGCACCTTTATGTATGTGAAAAACAACAAGAAGAAGAAATACAGCAGAAGACATTTAAAAGATCACAGGTTTTCTCTGATGTGCTTTTATGAAACTGATCGTTGTTATTAGTTGTTAAAACAAACTGATATGATTTATTCAGAACTGAACAGAATGAGCTCTGCTTCTTTTTGTTTGAGTTCTATTCATTTAGATTGTTGGACCGGAGCGTAGAACATTATTCAGGAGGTTAGTCGAGTCGTACGGGTTTATTTTTATTATGTGTGTTCTTGCAGGGTTTTCGCCTAAACATGTAAATTATCAGACAAATTTGTGCAATCAATACTGCAGGCTTTCAGGCTAAGTTGTTCCGGTAAATTGGTGTCATATACTGGTGGGTGTTAACCGTAATGTTTAAATTACATGAACAAATTCACAGAATAAATATTCTTGTAGGGACCCAACCTGGATTAAACAACCGGGGTACATTTGGATAATAAATGTATTGTGGGTCTGTAGCTTGGTGTTTATTTGCTGAAGCCATCGTTCTATGTTTTTGTGTGTTTTTGGTCCTTCTATGCTGTTGTGGTGTCCAGAACACTAACAGGTGACCTTTGTTTTCATGTTTTCTGCTCAGACTTGAATGTGCATTAATCATATTGTCTGTTTCTCTTTCATTCTGTCTTTATTATCCTCATTTTCTGAGCCTTTAGACACATGAATAGCGTTTGCTTGCCCTCGCTGCCTCTCAGTCTGCAGCATCAGAGCGAAAACACCATGAATTATATAACTGAAGCTCTCTAAAAATAACCCAAACGCTTTTGGTTCGCTTGATTCAATTGGATCCATCATCTGCTGAGGTGAGAAGGTTCACGTTTGCGCTCGACCCCATCACCTCGGCGGTTCTGGTTCCGGATGAGAGCGTCCGCTGAAGGCCTCCAGTGGAACCGAGGGGAAGAACTGGGCTCCACGACGTTACGTGTCCGTGTTGAGTTCATTACTCAGCAGCTCTCCGGTCTGGAGGCTGTAAACGTAACCCTGCTGAACGTGACCCGGTTTGATCTGTTGGAGAGAAACTTCAGGATCAGTCCATGAAAAGTCTCCTCAGAATCAGTGGATTATTTATTTAATGAAGCAAAGTTCTACCTTCATGCTGGGGATATTTTTAGAGTTTCAGACCCAGATTGATCACCTTAATGGACTTTTTCCATCATTTCTGAGCCTCAGCACTTCATCAGTACAGCAGATAGACACATGACATTTAGGAGGAAGAACACATCTGGGTTCTGCTAGAACCTGACACCAGATCAGTTCGACATCCATCCATCTGTCTCCGTCTAAAGAGCAAATATGACTATATTAGATTTTTTTTTTTTATCCCACAGAATGAGTCCTGTCTATAGATGGTTCTGGTAGGTTCTGGAGGTAAAACGGTCCTTCCATTGTCTAGAACTGGTTCTGACCGTCACACATGCTGATACCAGCCTGGAAAGTTTACCCTCTTTAAAGGTCACATGACTTTGCGCTGTGAATTAGTCTCCCGGGTCAGACAGAGGACCCAGTATAGAACCCTGTGGAACACCACATCAACATTTCTGCTGCTAAAGGCGTCATTTGAACTGAGTCACACCATAGAAATCAAACATCAGTTCTACGTCCATCCAGGTGTCTCAGTCTAAAGACTCATTTAGGATCATTTTTTGTGTATTTTTGTTTTGTTTTGGTTTTTTTGTGTCATTTTGAATATGTTCTGAGTCATTTCAGACAAACATTTAGTCATTTTTGACAGGTTTTTTTTGTAATTAGGGATCATTTTTGTGTTATTTTGAACATCTTTTGTGGCACTTTAAGGAATTTCTGCATAATAGAAAACACGTTTGATCTTTTTGTAAAAACTGCAACCACATCAGTTTTATATCCATCCAGATGTTACAGCCTAGAAGACAACAAATGTGGGAAAATTTTGAGTCATTTCGACCAATTTGAGTAATTTTGGACGACCTTCGTGTTATTTTGGAACATTTTGTGAGTCGCTGTCGACAAAGCTTGAGAAGTTTAAGACAATTTCATGAAATTTTTTGGACAACTTTCATGTGATGGATGAAAAACCCACCTGAGTTCTGGTAGAACCTGACACCAGATCAGTTCTACATCCGTCCAGGTGTCACCGTCTGAACACCTGAAGAAAAAAATACAGTGTAGGATAAAAAGGAATGAAAACTAAAGCAGCATAAACGTGATGTGACGTGGTGTTAAATGTTTCTAACCTGATCTCTTCTTCTCTTTGTAGGAGCGCCACGCCGACAGCCTGATACAGAACCAGCATTATCAGGTCGGTACCTGCTTCGGGTCTCCTTGTGTGTCAGCAGGTGTGTTCGCGTCGTCACCTGCCGGCTTCCACTTTGCACTAAAACAGGAACTGAACACTAAAAACAGGTGTCAGTCAGCTTTAACACCTCCACTGAGTTACGGGGTTTTAAATCACCATGACTTAAGAATCAGTAGGACTATACTTGTATGTGGATTGCTCAGAAAAGTTAAGCTCCTCATACTTGTTTTTCTGCATGATTTAAGAGATGTTTGAAGTGTCATCAACCCAGGGTGTTAAGCTGAGGACCTGTTTAATCATTATGTTGCTCCAATGAGATTTTTTGGAACTTTTAAGAAATAAATTAATTGTTTAGAGATGCACTTCTTGTACTTTAAACTTCAGTTTATGTGACATTAGCAGATGTCATCTTATTGTATTTGTTCAACCTGCAGGTCCTCGTTTCATGAGAGGGAACTTGAAATTTGAGCTGACAGCAAAGGAAAATTAAGTCTTTTTTATGCTACATCATTATGTCGTCCAACTCGTCACAGTAAGGTTTCCAGCTGGATCAATACGGTCGTCTGGATTACAGTCAAAAGTACATTTCAGTGATTCGTCAGTCCCGTGTTGCACCAAACTGTTTGTTGGTCCATCAAACCAACACGGGACGAGAACGTGGACCTGAAGCTCTCAGAGGACAGTTCCAGTACGTTCAACCGGCCGTGTTTCCCAGTAGCGTTGGGTTTTATGTTTGCAGTCCTCCCCGAGCTGCCTGCAGCTTCCCAACAAACGTCATCGTCACACAAATTGTATTAAAGTTTGTTTTGGCGTTTGACTGAAATTAGCCACCTGGAGGTAACGTTTTCCAAACAGAGATCTACGTCCCACCTATACATCACGTCGGTTTGTTTAACCGGAACGTGCAGCTGAACGCCGCCACAGGTTTTAACTTGTAAGCTGCGCTCAGCCAATCAGCCAATCAGCGAACAACAAACCGCTAATGGGAAGCTGAGAGAACGAATACAAACCAACACAAAGTGGATCAAGTTTGGCAAATCCTGGGCTTGTTGGGTAGTGTTGGTATAAGCTAAAGCTGGAAAATGGTGCTTTGCTGCACTTCATAGTACATCGATAAGAGACGAAACAAGGACCCACTGGTGTAACCCCACAGTGGAACACGTCTCAGAAGTACGAGTGCACTTAAACATCACAAAGATGGCTCATGTCTCCATGACTGTTTAGGTCCGGGCTTTTATTTTGAAACTGTTTAAGTGTCTGTAGCTTTAAATGCTGCTGGCCCCGCCCCCTTCAGGAAGAAGACTCTCCCGGTCTGTGATTGGCACATAGATAATAATAGAGTGAGTAGCAGCAGGACTTTCTATCCTCTAACTTTCTCTCTGAGGATCGTTTTACAGTAGTTCTGAGTGAACTCTCGGCTCAGTCGTCGTTTTTAACTCCTGTTTGTTGTCAGACAACGTTATAAAATCAGCGTTTAAATGAAGCGATGCTCGTTAACGTGTCGTCTGGATGAGTTTCAGTCGCTTCTGACCACAGAAACAGAAGCTTCTGCAGATGAGAGCAGCTTCATTGTGAGTTCAGTTTAATGAGCACAGGGAGCAGGAGAGAAGCCACCGATGAGGTCCTTCCCCAGGATTTAAATCTGTTCATTTGTTAATTACATTTCAACCAGTTTCATGAAGTTAGTGTAACTTGAATTTTGCTTTCCATCAATTAACATGAACAGCTGAGTTCAACCTTAATGTGAGTTTGAATCCGTGGCATGTAAATTCACACCATAAATATCTCTGTCGAGTCTTAACCTCGATATCTAAACTTACAGGTCAGTTCCTAGCGTCAGTCCGGTTGTGTCTTTGCGCTGGATGACACCTCGGTGCTGCTCTGAATGTGCAGCGACAGTTTGACGCGATCACATCGAGAGTTTTCTGACAAATCTTTCCTCTCAGTTGAAGTGACAGCGAGCGTCTTCCTTCTTTCTTGTGTTGGTCGGAGCACAAACGCAGCGTGTCGTCTTTGGCAGCCGTTACCGCCGCTTTCATGTCCAGTTTTTTTTTTTTTTTTTTCTTGGGGGGGATTTTTTTTTGTAAGAATTTGTGCAGCGAATCAAAGCGAGACTCGTATTCTGACACCTCAGCACTGGCAGCGAGTTCGGACGCAGCAGCGCCAGTACTTTGCGTTTGGCAGCGCCAGTCGTCGCTTTGATACGCGTCCTTGTTTTTAAGGATTGTTGCAGGAGTGTGTCCTTCACTCGGCGGACTGTGTGTGTGTGTGTGTGTGTGTGTGTGTGTGTGTGTGTTTTGGCAGAGGCGGAGAGTGACAGCATGCCAGAGCGTCCTGTTTGGCAGTCACAGGTGTTGACTGTGGGAGGAAGCTGTGTGCGAGTGTGTGTGCAGCGTGTCAGGGTTTGAATCGCCGCCCACTGAGCACCAAATGCTTGTGAAATTTGTCTTTGGTCTGTAAATCAACGAGGGCGACCCGCCTCATTGGCTGATAACTTAATGAGACAATAGCATTTAAACGCCTGCACTGGGCTGCACAACAAGTCGCTTCCTGCGGCTCGTTTTTAGCTGGTTTGGTGCAAAAAATGAGCACAAAAGGTGTTTTTATTCTCCTGATTTATGAATGAAGGAAGTTTGCTGAACTTCAAGCTCACAGATGAATATAAGCCACATCCAAACAGGAAACAAGAAATATGAAGAAAACTCACGGAAACTTGCTGCTCATTAAATAATGTGAATTTCCAGACTTTTGGATTGACTTGGGGCGTTTCAGTTTCATACAAAACTGACTTTGTGAACTTTGAAATATCTCTAAAGTGCATTTATAGGTCTTATGAGAGCAGCAAACACTTGTCACTGCTGGACTCTGGTGGACCGTTTAGTGCTTTTCCTTCATCCGTTTATGGTGGAACTGTCTTTGGATGTTTCATGATGCAAACGTGTTTGTGTTTTAATTCACTTCATGAGGCTCCAGAGTTTCCTGTAGAACCTGAGAGCGACGTCTGTGTATTCACATCTAGACTGCAGGATGTAACTGACTGCTAGTTATTAGTGCCAGTTTACCAAAGTCTTAACAAATTGAGAAAAAGAAAAATGAACTCCCTGGTTAGCGTCTGTTTGCCGCCGTAGACTTCAAACGCGTTCCGTCGAGCCTCGTCGCGAGAACAAAACGCGTCACTCACCCTCCGAGTGACTGACGGCGGAACAAAGAACAACCCAAAAAAAATAACGCCGTGGAAAAAAAAAAAAGTCACAGAAATAGAAAACAGAAGCAGTAACCATGGCAACTGTCTCCCAACAGGAGGTGATCCGGAGCCTGGTGAAGCGGTACGTGGCGGCCATGATACGCAGCGCCAAGACCGACGAGGGGCTGACGGAGGAGAACTTCAAGGTGGGTGACCGGGACGATGGGATGCTGTTGTCATGGTAACGCGGAGCCCAAACAAAGGAGGCGGCGCTCCTCCAACGGTGAAATCCGTCTTTCTGCAGCGAACCATGTAAACGAGGAACATCAGCTGCTCTGCTCTGATGCCGAACACGCAGCTGCTGCTCGTCGCCGCAAAGCTTGATTGAAAGTTTAGGTTCCTAATAACCACCTGCTCGTGTTCCTACAGTCTGATCAATAGCAGGCATCCTCCAGGAGAGCTTCTTTGCTTTTCCTCAAATCTTCCGAGCCGTGAATTATTCAGAGCTGTTCTACCTCCAGAGCCCGTTTCCCATGATGCCTCTGGAGCCCAGCCTGGGCTTTGAAGTGCAAACTTCCTCTGGGTCTTTCAGTTCAACAACGGCATCAGGTGCACGTCGAGCTTTTCACACGCCGACGGTGTTTGTGTGTCTAAAACGTGTAGCTAACGTCAGGTGAGCTGGATCACAGCGTCCAACCCTCTGAGGAGTCACGTGTGCAGCGTTCGGATCCCATATGGTGAACGAAACCCACCGAGTCCGTCGGGTCGTGTCGCACAGCTCCGTGTGCTCTGAGCAGAGAGGACTACAGTAGCAGCAGGGCGGTAAACAGAGCGTTTCTGTGCAGCCACTTATGCAAATGTTGTGTAAAAGCTGCGGGCTGAATCCCAGCTGCATGTGAGCTGAATGCAAATAAAAGCCGGCGTCGTTGTCCCCGGATGGCTTCGGCGCCGCAAAACGAGCAAACGTGCTGCAAGTTTGCCTCAAGTTCATCTGGAGAGTCCTAAAAATCACTCAGACGTCAGTCTGCTTTGATAAAGGAAAGAATCTACCAGTTCTCCACATAAGGAGCAGCTGGCTGGTCATGCAGATCCAGGATCATCGGTGCTTTTTAAAGATGAAAAAAAGTCTCTAAAAAGCATCCTTGCTTTTTGAATTAAAACACAGGAGCATAAACGACGTGGACGCTGCCTTTTGGGGACATGTCAGCGTTCTCTGCATCAGCTTTGACCTCTGATCAGACGTAAACTTATCAAGCTGAATTAGTTTAAGGTTATACGATCAGTAATGCAGCTCACTGGCTGATGGTTCGGCCAGAGATCTGGTCGTGTTACACACATTTACAGCTCATGATGTTTGTATGTTCACCCTCAACCAAGACGTAGAGAGCCAGTTTTACCGGCAGCATCGGTTAGTGGACGTAGCGGCGCTTCTATGCAGGAAACAGTTTGTTATGTCTATGAGGTGAGTTTTATGTTGTTGAGGAAAAGACTGCAGCCGGACGAGGACATGGAGCTGGAGCTCATCCTCAGCGACCACTTTAACCAGTTTATTCATCATCTGCATCACGGCCGTCGCTTTCTATGAACGTATTTCATCAGTTAGCCACTTTGAAAATAAATCACCCGAAATGTCGAGTGCAAGAAAAACTCTTTAGAATAGATTCTAATGTTACAGATTTATGGAAAAAACAAGATTCATTCTGTCATCTGACACCACAGAAGGGTTTAATATTAATCTGCAGTGTTGCATGATACAGAACGTTCAATCCAAATGCTTTTTATTGCCATGAAAGTGGCTTTAAATGAGCTGTGTTTCTTTGCTTCTCCTCTCTTTGCTCTCACTTCCACCGTTCGTCCTTTTTCTCTCTTTCTGGCCCGTCTCTCGACCTCGACCTCCTCCTCTTCACCTCCTGCCTCTACAAACGGATGCTTCACCTCCCCCCTCTCAGCCTCGTCACTCCCACTTACCCTCCTCACCCTCCTCTTCTCTCACTCTGGGTTGTTGTTTTTTTTTTGTCACATTTTCCCCTGAATGTCAAAAACCTGCTCAGAGTTTGTCTAAACCTGAACACTGTCAGGCCTGAAAGCGATTCCTTCTCTGAAGCATTCTGCATTTCACAGCCAGAAGATGAGTTAAGTTATTGGTATATTAGAAAATAGCTTTGCCAAAGAAGGACTCATGTCTAGAAGATGGTCCTGGTAGCAAACGGTGCTGAATTTTCATGGAGTGACCCAGTTTGGAGAAGGGAACCCTGAATGCCAAGAAGTTTGTGAGTCAGTTATTAGTCAGAGTGAATCTATCGCCGTCCTTCAGTGGCGTCGGTGATGCCAAGGAGCCATTTGGGAGGCACATTTCAAACAGTTGTCTTAACCAATGGCCTGCAGCCTGATCAATCAATCTTGACTAATCGATAGCAGGAATGACTTACAGCAGACACTCCTAATGCCGACAGAGGCTTTCTGAGTTAGTTAGTTTTTTAACCATGTGACCATCATGACAAATCAACACTTTGGCAATAGGAACGTTGTCTTTGTAGACTTGGCTGGAAACCGTTAACCGCCACATTTGGACCCACCTCTAAAAGGTCTGGAAATATTTACAGGATGAAGGTAGAACTGTGCATGACTCCGTTATTTATGCTAAAGTTACCGTCGATAAAGAAGCAGCTGACTCAGAAGACGATTGAGTTTTAGTGACTCTACGTTAACCTCACGGTGGTTCTCTGTGTCTCCTCAGGAGCTGAAGCAGGACATCTCCAGTTTCCGCTACGAGGTCCTGGATCTCCTCGGCAACCGGCGTCCTCCCCGACGACACTACTCCTCCTCCAGCGAGACGACGAAGGATGACGGCGCCGCGGCCTCTGAGGACGACAGCGAATCAGGTGACGGCAGCGGAGGCGGAGTGGGCGTGCCCAGGTCCAAGAGCGTGACATTCGTGACCCCGACGGAGGAGGACACGGGGCCGGCGCCGACGCTCGGCGTGTCGGCACTGGTGCGCTCCATCTCTGGGATGACCCAGATAGAACGAGGGGGCGACGGCGAGGAGGGCGAACTGGAGGAGGGCATCGGATGGGGCGAGGAGGAGGAGGACGAGGAGGGGAAACCAAAGAGCAACGGGCTGAAGACGACCGTCATCTCTCCATCCTCCACCGCCGTCCTCCCGTCGCCCTCGTCGTCGTTCTCCTCCTCGCTGTCCTCGTCGCTGGCTCGCACCAGGAGCCGCCTGCAGCGCCTCTCAACTCCGAGGGCCAAGACGGACTCCTTCAAGCGCCTCTCCTACCTGTTCTCCCGCTCCAAACGCAAAGCCCCGCCCATGCCGCTGTCACTCCAGTCCCCGCCCTCCTACACCATCTCCGACGGGTTGCTCCGCCCCCTGGGCAGCCACAGCCACTCCGACTTCGGACTCAGCGACGTGACCAGGAGCGAGACTCACCTGAACGAGGTGGGCCGCTCCGTCGACATCAACAACCCGTCGTTCTCGAGGACGAACGGACGGGACTCGCTGCTGACGCTGCCCCTCCCGCCCCCGTGTCCCTGCCAATCCCTGCACTGTGCTTCCAACATGTCCGAGTCCAGCTCGCGCCTCCTGGACTCCAGCGAGGACGTTTTCCAGGGCGGAGGCGTGGGAGGAGCAGGCGAGGGCGGTGTGGACGGAGGCGGGGGAGGCGGTGGCGGGGTGATGATGATGGGCGGGTGGGTGGGACCCTGCGATGATGTCATAGAGGACAGCTGCGAGGTCATAGAGGACTCGGTCACCACGCAGCTATAGGAGACAGCCGACAACCAAACTGATTTTCTTTGTTTGTTTTCAAAATGGCTGAATACACACAGAGATGGAGGGAGAGAGGGGCGGGACCCCGACGGGATCCGTTCTCGGACTCGGCAGGTGGGATTCGGCATCCTGGAATTCTAGTACGCAACACTTTCAAGAACGGAGCAGGTTCTGAGGATCGGCTATTGTGCACCGAACGGATCCTGAAATGGCAGACGTTCATGGAGACAGTCTGGGAAATACAGTTCATACCCACCAGTGCAGGGTACAAGTTAGCTAGCTAGTTAACCTGCTACATCTCGCCACTGGGCAGCCATCTTGGTACCACCCCCAGGCAGTTTTTTGGGCTACTACGACTAGACTAAATGACTGGAGAGAGCCATAACTGTAATTTTGAAGGTCACTGTGACATAAAAAGTGCATGTATAGAATCATCAGTCAAGTCTGATTTAAAAAGCATGAGTTTACAGATTAGCTATCTAGCTAACCTGCTATTGAGACCTTTTAGGCAAGTCTCTCCAGTTGGCGGTCATCTTGGTGCCAGCCACAGGCAGTTTTTTGGGCTACTACGACTAGACCAAATGACTGGAGAGAGCCATAACTGTAATTTTGAAGGTTGCCGTAACACAAAAAGTGTACATATAGAATCATCAGTTCAACCTGATTTAAAAAGCATGAGTTTACAGATTAGCTACCTAGCTAACCTGCTAGAGCAGTCCTTATAGTTTCACCACTCAGCAACCACCTGGGTACCACCCCTAGGAAGGTGTTATGGGCAAACAAGACCAGACTCAGAAAACTGTCATTTAGAAGGTTAGCCAGACATAAAAACTGCATGTGTCAAATGAACAATTAGATCAGATTGAAAAACGCATTAAGATTTAAGTTCATAACCAACGCCAGGAACAAATTAGGTACCTAGCTAACTTGCTATTGAGTCTAAATGACAGGAGAGATCTCTAAATTTGAAGGTCATGTACTTCAACTACACCCATCACTGCCCACTTTTGCCAGTTGAAAACCAATGCCAGCTTCAAGTTAGCTAGCTAGCTAACCTGCGATCAAGTCCTTTTAGGCAAGTCTCTCCACTTGGCGGCCATCTTGTTGACAGAGCTTAAACTGTCTTTTTTACGAGAGAGCTGGGGAGCTAACCTGCTACTGTAGAAGTTAGCTAACTTTAAGCCCCACTTGGATGGGATTAATTTAACAGCGGGACAGTGGGGGATTAAATAATCCCTGTTGGCCCTGGTGATTTATCTTGTTGCTCCAGACAAGATTCACACAGGAAGTCATCCAACATCCGTAAATCTGTTTAGAAATTATGGAAAAATTGACATAACTCACCTGAGAATTCCTAATACCCATCATGTGAACAGGGCTTTGGGGTGCTTTTTGAGCCATTTAACGCGAAAGTCTTCCTTCTTCTCACCAAAATCACCCAAGACATCTCTAAATCACAAACCAGTAAAGAACTGAGCTCTTCACGTCCCACAGGGAGACTCGTGAACTGTATTTTTCGGTATTTGTTGGGTCGAACCAAACCGTCTTCATCAACGTCTGCCAGTTTCTGTGCAGGAGGGCGTTTGAAGAAGATTACAAATTTTTCTTCTGTTCTCCGGGAGATCCAAACGCGTCCAAACGATTGTTCTGGAATTACGAGGACTTTTTCGGAACGGAGATATCGCCACCACCCCGTTTGGCTTCGTCTTTCCCTTTAACCGAACTCTGTTGGAATAAAAATGGAATTCAACCCTGTTGGGAGCCCCGGGATCGGAGTGGAGCTTCCCGTTTACCTTCCGCCGAATGGAACGAGCCCCGCGTCGGTATGGAACGGACTTTAACCAGTGGATGGAATAATAACCTCCTGCGCGAGCGTGGAACGATGGATTTAACGCCCTGCACCCTCTCTCTCTGCAGCAACAAGGGCCAAGGAACTTTGTTTTATCCTAATAACAGTTATACTAGTAATAATAATAATAATAATAAGAGACTTGAATAATAATAATAATAATGAGGACTATTCTGGTTTCTAAAGACTGTGTTTGCTTCTCTTTGAGTCGCCTGCGGTATCCTGGCTTCTCGTTCAGCTCTTCCTTAATAAGTACACTTTAACCTGGTGAATAACATATATGGTGATCTTTATTGTGAGGAGGATGGGTGATGGATGGATGAGGAGGATGAGGAGGAGGAGGAGGAGGAGGAAGGCGAATAAGTGCAGAGACTGAACCGTGGCTGAGTGAGGATCAGATGGACAAAGCTTTGCCTTTCTATCTATCTGGGAAATCTATTTTAAAGGGAAATTTCACCAGAGTTTCATCATGATTTATTATTTTTTCTCTCTCTCTCTCTTGAAGTCGCTCAGTGACTTCAAAAGGTTGGCATGAGCCGAGGCTGTTGAATTTTACTCTGGTTAATATATCAGCGGTGAAAGTAGAGAAATTATGCATGCTTGATCAAAAAACAAAGTAAGAACCACCGTTACCTGCGACACACGCCGACGACACGCTGCAGACATCAGCCGCTGATGATGAGCAGCTCCCGGACAAATCTTTGGCCTTTTTCCCTCCAGAGACGTCTCCTCGCCTCGCGTCCGTCCGTCCGTCCGTCCGTCCGTCTGTCTGTCCTCTGGCTCGGCCCTCCGGCAGCCGGTCGACCTCCACCGCCAGCTGTCTCCGCCGCCAGTCGACGTCCCGGAATGTCACGGCGTAACCATGGCGACCCAATTAGCCACTCAGCATCCTGTAACCACGGCGTCACGTCCGGAGCATCTCCTCCGGGTTCAAATGCAGTCGGTCGTCGGTTCACCTCCCAAAGCAAACGTGACAGATTTCCTGATCCAACTTTGACCCCGAGCTGGTGCTAAAGAGGAAGCATCTCTGGTGCACGGAGGAGAAACATCTGGCTGCACGTCAAAGGAAGAGCTTGAAAAAAAAACCCTCCGTTTGCCGTCCTGTCGTCCTCCGTCGTTCTCCCGCCACCTCGTCTCCTCTGCGTCGACTTGGCAGCTTTTCAGAACCGTGTGTCTCCTTATTTTTGAACTATTTCGTTTGAAAAAGTCGAAAAGTGCAAAATCTTGCTCGCTTGAGGCCTTTTTGACATTTCCTGAAAATGTCTCGTTAATGGAAACGCTAGATCTGAATGAGTTTTTAAAGTTCCAGTCATGGACATTACAGATGTTTGATCAGGTTCTGGCTGTTTTTTAACAGTCACTGTGTAAATTAATCTGATTTTACCAGCTATGATCTGTGATGTCATAAAACAGGAAAATCTGGAATCTAACAGTAAATTATCCAAAAAAACAACGAAGCATTTCTGAACTTAATGGTTTACGAAAAGACTTCTTCTCAGTCAAATTATTTTTGCTGGAATATTTCTCACAGTTTGTTGTCGAAAGGTGATGCCACAAACTTCTGTCGTCCAATCAGGATTTTGCTGCTTTTAAAACAGAACGTCTGCGGCGTTGAGCGTTTGTCTCCCCCCGCTGGCAGCGACAGGAATTACACCGTCGGACTGTTGACCAATGGGTTCGACCGTAATCCTTCCTTCTAAGATTTTCTCTGTCATCCGGAGCATCAGAAACTTCTTCCAGGATTTTTCCTGTTGCTGCTCCAACTTTGTGGCTGCCTCCGTCTTCGGTTTTAGGAAACCAGTTGTTGCCGGTTGACGCAACGCGTTGCTACAAGCGGATCCGTGCCGGAGTGAAAGCAGCTTTTTAGACGTTCGATTGAAAGACTCACTCTGGGGTGAACAGAGGATGCTTTCAGCGACGAGAAGCCTTTTCAGCGTCTTTTAACTCCTGCGTTAATGTTTCGCTCTCGTTTGCTAATAAAGCTGCATAAAACATAAAACCCGCCGTAGACGACCTGCCCGGCAGCACACGGCAGACAGAAAGCAGATCATTTCGTGGTGTTTGTGCTTTAAAGTTGCACAGCAAAGAGAAAAAGTCAAAACGTCAGCAGCGCTCGAGCTGTAGAGACCAGCGCCGACTCGTTTCATGCTCTGATTTCAGACCGACACATAAAAGCTGTACGTTGGTTTGAGCGCAACATGAAGAACGAGAGTCAAACGTCGTGTTTTTTGTTTTCCAGATCTTAAAGACGCACAAATCAATATTTCTGCGTTCGCAAATGAAGTCTTTGACGTTTTCCTCCAGAAGTGTGACGGCGGGTTGAAATCTGTTCATCCAGCTTTGATGCATGTGGATTGTAGAAATATGGATGAACGTTTAGCTGATCCTCTGTGAGACTCTGAGCTTTTAACGGATCAATGATCAGTTTTTCTCAGGCTGCTCCTGCAGCGAGATGGTTTCTGAACGCTGCTTCTCGTTAGCGCCTCCTACTGACTGTCAGCAGGGTCCACAGATGCCACCAGCACCGGAACAAACCCTGACTTCACACAGCAGTGATGTTTATTTCTGATCGGACCTCTCGGCGCTGAGCATTGCACCGCCTGCAGCTCAGCCCAGCAGTCAGAGTTCTGGTCACGAGTCTGTTGGCTGCAGCAAAGAGAGCAGAGTTTTAGTTTGTTACAGAATCGGGTTGAGTTTTTAGCACGTTTTGACTAAAGATATGCTAATTCTGAGTTTGGTGAATTTTCCTGATGGAGTCACAGACGAGTAGTTCAGGGACCGTTGGAAACCTGAGCATCCCGTGACTCTTTCTGTTTTTACAGACTCTGATAAATGATGTGCTGAACAAGACGAGACTCTGCCGTCACCAGAACGTTGGATCCGTCCTCGCTTAACAACACGGGATGCTGACCGGGTTACCACGGCAACGCACGTCCCCGCATCACAATCAGGGCCGCGAGGTTCGGCGATCAATCTCAGTCTGGCATGATGCCCGCGAGAGGCGTCAAAAAAAAATGGCGCCAAATGAAATCGACGGCGTTGGTTCCTTCGCGCCGACTGAAGAGCTTCATTGTGAGAAAGGCGGCGGCCGATCAAGGAGCATCGACGAGCCGAGCTGATCGCGTGATTGATAGAGTCGCCTCAGGAC